TAGATGCCATACTCCACCGGAACAGCTTGAATGATTTTTATGAAATTTTATATGTGTATTCGGCAGATCTATGTATGAGACGTAATCTATTTTTTATGCCACTATATCATAATGGTGGTCTAACCCAAAATTTTTTGTTGTTTTTTTGAAAAAAAATTTTATTTCTGTCTTATCAACAAACAATCTACTGCGTTTAATAACTTTCGTACCTAATTTACAATTTTAGGTGGCGATTTCAACGCAAACATAGGTGTAAAAGAAGTAGAGCAAAAAACATCCTTGAAAAAGTTGGATTCACCAGAAAGAAATGACCGAGGAGAAACGCTACTAACATTTCTACTCCACAATAATTTATTCAACATGAGCAGCTTTTTTCACAAAAATATGTACAGAAGATAGACCAGAAAAAGTCTAAATGGTAGAAAAAGGAATGAAATCATCATTCCTTTTCATCATTCCTTCATCATTAGTGACAAAAAACAAATAATTAAGAGATGTAACAGTACTTAACAAGTTCACCACAAGCAGTAACTGTAGAATGATACGACCTAAATTCCAAATCAACATAAAAAGAGAAAGAAACATAATGATTAAAAATAAATCTCATGGTATCTGGACACCTCCATTAGATTCAACCAATATCAGGCACATACCAATAATAAGCTACTACTGTATGAAACCTTCGAGATCGATCTTAACGACTTGAATAATTGCATTATAAACGCCTTACAAGAAAGTCACCGAGTACACTGTACTAAAAGAAAATTTGATAGTAAAATAAGTCCATATACAAAACGATATTGGATCAAAGAAGACAAATAAGAAGCGATAAAATGTAGACAGATACACTCTAAAATAAATGAATCAAACTGTTTCGAAGGTATTCAGGAGAGATGCATGGAAATTTAAAACTGCTAATATTCAACGTACTATAGAGAAAAATAACAGCCTAAAAGTTCTAATGTAAGAACGTAAAGTAGAAAGCTAATGAATGGGAAATGCGAAAGTGATAAATTAAGAAACAAGCAAAATGAAATAATATCACGTAGAGACGAGTTAATAGAGGTCGTCAAAGAATTTTACGAGAAATTATATGGAAATAGACGAGATCAAACAGGAATACAAACAGCTATTTCAAAGAAAATCATGAATCATGGCTCCAAAATAATGCCAGGGATAAAGGTAGAATTGATTAAAAAAGCATTAAGAAAAATGAAAAATAACAAAGCCCCAGAAGAGGATAAAATTGTAGTGGAAGCTATCGTAAATAGAGGAGATATACTATTAAATAAACTAAGGAAACTGTTTGATCTATGTTTGTAGTAAACAGAAATGCCCAAAGACTTAAACAATGCACCTTCCTTTTGGGAGTCTTGTTCGATCATTCATAGAGAGAACACGTATATTTACAGGTGCTTAAATAGTGATTAAGACAAGGTTTTTTTTGTGACTTTCAATAACAAACCAATTTCACTCTGGGCAAATGAACCCAGTTTTGTGTTTATTTAAGTATTTATTATTGTTTTTGTTTGTGTGTATGCAGTGGTAGTTTACAAAAATAGATGAAAACTCTCCCCCCGCCAAAGGAGGGACCCAAAATATGGACCAAGTGGAAGAATGCCTACAAATCAAGGAACAGGAAAAAGGAATTAAGCTGTTTAATCTACAAAAAGGTTATCTCTATTATCCGTATAGAGATCCGTAGGTATATGTATTCATTGAAATAACAAATGAAGAACATACTGGCAAACTGCATCCTATGCAGGTAGGTCATATTTTACATAAAAAATTAGCAATCAAAAATATTCTTAGTATTGACAGAATAGGGAAGAATAGGGTAAGAGTACAAGTTAAAAGCCCCAAAGATGCAAATAATTTAGTAAAAAAATGGAAATTTAAAAGAGGAACAACTAAAAGCATATATCCCAAATAATTTGCTTCAAGAAAAGGCAAAATAAGAAACGTAGATACTGCTTTTAATGACCAAAATCTTTTTGATAATATAATATTCAATATAACAGTAACGGAAGTCATTCGACTTAACAGGAAAATTGACTTAAATGGAGAAAAAGTATATATCCCCAGACAAATGGTATTACTTACATTTGAAGTAAACATTTTACCCAGATATGTATATATAAACAGTGTTGCCTATTCCATAGAACCCTATGTATATAGAGTTATAAAATGGTTCAAATGCTTGCAACATGGACACGTATTTCGTAATTGCAACAGTACAAAAACCAGATGTATTACCAGCGGACAAGAGAAAACCCGATGATCATAACTGTAGAGACCCACAAGACAGTTATTGTATACACTGTAAAAATTATGACCATAAATCCATTTTCAAACAATGTCCAAAATTTAAAGAACAAAACGAAATAAAAGACATACGGCCGAAAAAAATTTAACTTTCTTAGAAGCAAAGGACAGTCTAAAAAACTCTTGCACATTTGCTGTTAGTACGAGGAATAATTTTGAAGTATTAGGTATGCTAAATAATGAAAGTTTTCCACCTTTCCCAAATCAAACTAACACCAAACATATACTTAAACCATCCTCATCCAATACCCAAAAAAAAACACAAAATGTACCTCCAAATCAACCTGAAACTTCTTCACATTAAAAAAAAAAAGAAAATACCAATCTCCCTTACCTGAAGGTATGTTTTATTTTGAATTTGGTCCAAAAAGACCTCTTCCCTCAAATATTTTACACAGTGCCGATCCTGATCCTAATACAGATGAATTTATAAACATATTTTTTAATATTTAAAAAAAAGTACTCGAAGAGTTTGACTCTTATAGCAAATTAGAAAAGTTATATAAAGCATACATTTATGATAAAATTAACAATTTCAATAAATTTAAGTAATGGCTAATAAAATAAAAAATAAAATGAAGATTTTACAATGGAATGCGCAATCGGCTGTAGCCAATAAACTGAGTTTACTTTAAATGTTTAAACGAAAATATAATTGATATTGCCTTAATTTCAGAGACATGGTGTAAATCAACGGTTTAAGCCAGATACACAGTATAATTTAAAGGGTTATAATATTATTCGTAAAGATAGAAATGATGGTTATGCAGGTGTGGCAATCCTTGTCAGAAATGTATTTTGTTTTAAAGAAATTCCAATTAAGAAAAATTTTAATGAAAATATTTTAATGTTTGGTATAAAATTATTGAATAACAGTGAAATAACGCTAACATGTTTCTCTCTATACTGCCCACCTGATATACGAACAACTGCCGATTGGGACGCAATTCCTACTTGTACCAAGTCAAATAGTATATTTGGAGGTGATTTCAATGCGCATCAATTAACATGGGATAATACAAAAGTAACACCAAAGGCACGCAAATTATAATCGCTTCAGATAATACGGAGTTAGTAATTTTAAACACCGGTTCACCTACAAGGTTCACAAATAATGGGAATAATTCAGTCGTGGATTTAACTTTTGCAACTCTAGATGTAGCAATTAATTGTGCATGGGAAACTTTACCTGATGTAATGGGTTTAGACCATTTTCCAATTATTGTAGAAATTAACAAAGGCGTAAAAGTAAAGACATCATAATACAGCCAAAAACAAAATGGAATTTGAATAAAGCAGATTGGACTCTATATCAAGAAGTTGCGAATAACTATTTTTCACAATACATTAAAAATAGCAATAACGCAGAATATAATTATAGCTTATTAATTGAAGGAATAAATAAGGCAGCCAATGCCTCTATACCCATTTACCAACCCTTTAAACCCAACAAAAAAACTCTTCTTCCACCATGGTGGGATCAAAGCTGCAAAGAGATTATTAAAAAAAGAAAATAAATGCTGAACACGTATAAGCAACAAAGCACTATGGAAAAAATAAAAGATAAACTACATTGGCAGGTCTGGTGCGAAAACTTAAATAGAAATACACCAGTGAAAAACATATGGACTTACCAAATATATGGGCTAGAAAAATAAATAAGATATATAGGAATGGTAATACATCTACACGTAGAGCTTACGGCATCAGGCGTATCATCAAAAATTGGCAACAAAGATCACAAAATCGTAAAGAATGTAGGAGTTTAAGGCAGACCTATGTCCAGCAGTGGACGTGATAAATGAAGTCTGGATGATGATGATGATGATGATGATGACCAAACAACACATACAACCCTTTTTATTAATTTTTCGGTCACTAACCCGTATTTTTTAATAGATAGCCATATTAGTGTCACACATATCTCAAATAATATAACAGTGAAAGACTCAAATATAGCATACCCAACTCCATAAGAGATGTCCTAGAAGAAAATACAAATACCCAAAAAATATTTTCTTATCTTAAAGTCTGTCAACTTATTCAAAAAATCTGAAACATATATTCTAATACACATAGGTACATATTATTATTATTATTATTATTGTAAACTAATGTATATACGCTAATTGTAAAAACTGTCACATTAATCTAAATACGCTAATGACCCTGCGTGGTTGATGCGTTATTAAAATAAAAAAAAAAGGTTAATGGATGATTTCAAAAGTTAAAGGCATTTTAAATTATGGTGTACAAATTTTGATCTACTGCAAAACAAAGTGAGAGTGACTTCCACCCTTTCAATTTTAATTCTAACGAACAGATGTATTTGCGTATAGGCATCCTTAAAACAGGAAAAATAAAAAAAAAATTAATATCCTAAGATCGCGCAATAGGCCTAAAGTTTGAAAAAATTTGAAAAAAACGGTCATTTTTAAAGTCATGGGAAAAATATTTCTAATGAATATTTTTTATTCTAATAGCTTAAAACATATTCTTTGAGGTGTATTTAGCTCGAAAAAAATATTCTTGAACATTTTTATGTATATTTTGAGATCGCGCAAAAAGCCTAAACTTTGGGGAGTATTTTTCGTGAAATTCTAAAGACATAAACGAAGTCTGTTCGGTTTGTAATCATACCCGATGCATTTCTACATATTAATTTATTATTTTAGATGTGTTACAAAACTTGATTCGACTTTCAGTCATGCTTGCTTATTGCTTATTAATGGCGCAATCCTCCACGCTGCGTGAGAACATCGCAGCGGCTTAACTATGACTACTGTGACTAGTAGCGTAGTAGCTCGCAACAAGTACAGTTGTCTGTTTGCGTTTACTTGTGTTACAGTCAAATAGTGCGCATTTTTCACAAAATTCGTTTGTTAGTAGTGTTTTTAATTTCAACATGATGTCGTCGAATAGTGGAGTTGCTACAAGACAATCCCACACGAACGTTTGCCCGATTTTCGGTCCGTCTCGAGAACTAAGTGCCAATACTTTGCCAACGTACGAGGACGTACTTCTTTCTTGTTTCGAAGAGAGACAAAGATTAATGTTATTGTCAGATTCAAAGTTCAAGGTGACATTTCCACCTATTGCAGAAAGTGTTGCCACTCAAGTTGAAAATCTTATTAAGAATGCTTCAATTCCAACTGTTACACACTCTCGTGTTGTCCAAATGGTAATTTCGTATCACGAAGAGTACTACAAGATCAGGAAATCATTTAACCGTGATAAAGACAAGGATTTTTTTAAGGAAAGACTTCAAGTTTTTATCGCTAATGCTCGGGGAAAACTATTTGATATTGCAGCATGTAAGTGTGAAATAATGCTTTCATGTGAATGCGAGAAAAAACTAAGCTGTGACTGTCCTGTGGTTCAAGTTTGCAATTGCGAGAAAGCAAAAAATATCCCTGATATTAAATTGAAGTTTGCATACGACCAACGAGTTACAAGAAAATTTTTAATTGGAAATATGGATAAGAAAGTGCCAGTGATTCTGCATAAAAGAGAAGAGAGAAAATTACATCTCTTGCAGCAAGAAACTTGTTCCTTAGATACCAGCGCATCCAGCACATGTGATACTTATGTTCGTCAAAGTGTGGACCAAGAAAGTCATTGTGATATGAGTTTGTCACAGCCTTCAACATCGCAAATGCGTTATAAGTTGACAACTACTGCTATGATAAGTGACAGATATGGAGTTTCCGACAGGGCCACAGCAGCAATTGCATCTGGTGTGATGCAGGATCTTGGATTAATATGTGATTCAGATATGTCTCAAGTGATTGACAGAAGTAAGATTAGGAGAGAGAAAGAAAAGCTGCGAAAAGAAGTAACAATTGACAATTAAGATCAGCTTAAAGAAGTAAAGGGAATCTATTTTGATGGAAGAAAAGATACCACTTAAACTCAAGAAAAATTAGGAGCCAAATTTTATCGTAGAGTAACAAAAGAAGAGCACATCAGCATTATTAGTGAGCCTGGTGGCCAGTATGTTGGTCATGTAACACCAAAAAAAGGAACTGGAAGTGAAATAGCTCAGTGCATTATTGACTTCATGAGAGAGCAAGACTATGATGTGAAGGAAGTAGAAGCCGTTGGATGCGATGAAACCGCCACCAACACTGGATGGAAAAATGGAGTGATTCGCAACATCGAAGTAATGTTCAAACGGCCCCTGCAATGGTTTGTGTGCCTATTACACTTCAATGAACTCCCTTACAGGCATCTTTTTGAACACCTAAATGGCACAACTACAGGACCAGCATCATTCAGTGGCCCGATTGGGAGAAAGCTCGTGAACTGTGCAAAAAATGATGTAGTACCATTTGAAGTCATTGTACCTGAATTTGAGATTATTATTACCAAATCTGACCTTAGTAAGGATCAGCAATACCTTAACAATACTTAGATATTGTTAAGTCAGTTACAACTGGACTCTGTGAACCTGACCTAGCTGATAAAGATCCTGGTCCCCTTAGCCACTCCAGGTGGTTAACCTGTGCCAACCGAGTACTAAGACTCTACATTTCTGAAGAAAGTCCTTCATATGAGCTGAAAATATTGGCCAACTACATTGTCAAGACATATGATCCTGTGTGGTTCGCCATCAAAAAGCACCACACTGTAAAAGACGGACCAAAGCATGTACTTAAAGTAGTACAAACTACAAGACATTTACCAGATGTCATAAAGACGATAATTGATCCAGTCATTGAAAGAAATGGATTTTTCTGTCATCCAGAGAATCTGCTTTTAACTATGATATTGGATGACCGAGAACATATCAGAGAGTTAGGATACAAAAGAATAATTAAAGCTAGAAATCAAAATCAAGAAACAGGAGAGAGCGTCAGGATATTCAAGGTACCTTCGATAAACTTTGACGCTCAAGATTATACAGAACTAATTGACTGGTCAAAGTGTGCTCTGACCCCACCACCTTTGATTGCAAGGATGACAACAGAGTACATTGAATCCCTGCTCAAAGAGAAAGCTTTACCTGAGTTTGATTGCTTAACATTTCCTTGCCACACACAAGATGTGTGAAATTAGTTACAGAGGCCTCAGGAAAAGTGTGTGGCCATGAAAACCGTGATGGGTTGATCAGGGCAACACTGAAATCAACATCAATGATGCCAAAATTTAACACTAAATCAGAGTTCAAAGGCGGAAAGTAATTTTACCACGCCCAGAATTGGTTGGTTGGTTGGGTAGGGCGTGGGTGGGACTCGAAGTGCAGCCACCTCCACGTGGTGAGTCCTGGGTCATTTCAGTACAACAAGTACTGAAATGGGCGAGGAGCTGCACATGATGTTGAACAATTCTAAAGCAAAACACCAGTGTCTACTCTGAAGTCTTGCGAAAGTTTTACAGTCTCGGTATATCCTTGAGCATTTAAGAAAAATACCTCATTTTGCCGATATTCCCCAAAGTTTAGGCTTTTTGCGCGATCTCAAAATATACATAAACATGTTCAACAATATTGTTTCCGAGCTAAATACACCTCAAAGAAAATGTTTTAAGCTATTAGAATAAAAAATATTCATCAGAAATATTTTTCCCATGACTTTAAAAATGACCGTTTTTTTTCAAATTTTTTCAAACTTTAGGCCTATTGCGCTATCTTAGGATATTAAAAAAAATTATTTTTTATTTTTCCTGTTTTAAGGATGCCTATGCGCAAGTTTTCCGCACTATTAGAAATTGATATCGTAGAGAGTCGTTTTTTCACTCCACCCTAATATATATATATATATATATATATATATATATATATATATATATATATATATATGTATAATATATATATGTATATATATATATATGTATATATATATATATGAAGAAGTATGTTTCTTATAAATATTGTAGCAATAGCTACCGTATCTCGGTTTGGCGCAGAATTACATTTCTGCATTGTAATCCACGAACCAGAAATAACAAACCTAGTGAAATGTCTTATCTTCATCTGCTTTTAATTGTTAGTTATCATTCAAAGTGCAAAGCTAGATTAGAGCGACAGTGCAAATGAATGTGCATGTGTTGACGAGATAAATGCGCTAAAACTGAAATAATTACGAAGACTGCAATAGCAGCATCTAAAGCTACGGCTGCACAGACATTAACAATAATGTTCTGTCGTTAAGAATTCCCTTCATCACTGTGTTTTAAACAACAAGTGTGAAACAATTAAGGCACGGAAAACATTTTGATGATCTTTGAAATAGAGGGTAAATATATTTATAGTCAAGTTACTACAGTGTATGTATAAGTGTACTCAAATTATAATAAATGTCTTATATTTGTATAACGAAGTAAAGGTACTAAAGATAAATAAAATAATACTAAATGTTTCATTTAACTTTTTCCGTCTGCTTGTTCATTACAAAGGGAAGCAAAGTTTGTATCGACTACTTCATAAAATTAAGCGTTCCACTTAACCTTGCGTAACTTTGTTCATTTTACTTAATTCCAATTTTTACATCAACAAAGAAAAACTAGTGTCACGGCACGACAGAAATTTGTAAATATCAGTTATGTATAGTTACAGATCTTCTTCTTTTCTATTATCACACCGTACTTATGTGGTTTTCCTATATTCCTGTTGCCTTTTTTCCCCTATCTTAGGCGAAATATCTTTATAATTATTTGTGTTTTCTTTCTTTTACAGCGTATATATTTAGAACAGAAATATGCTTTATTGTCACTGAAAATTGTACAATTTTATTGAAAAGCGTACAAAAAGTCAACAAAATAACTATTTACACTAATTAAACTAAATATATATATATATATATATATATATATATATATATATATATAAGTCTTTATTTTATTTTTGATGTTTTGTCAGTAAATAACAATAAATGTTGCTCAGTTTATCTATATCAGACTTTTTATTTATACAAGACGTATTGGATTTTATGAAACACATTTCCAAGAAAACACGTTTAAAATGGTTTTTTTCCTTGCCAAAATACAGGAATCCTCGAAATTAAATTCATGTTTTAAACTTAATCCATGTTCTGTCAACGTAATTTTTTTGGTTTTTATGTCGTTGCGATGTGAGATCACCCTACTGTAAAAATTACGAGATGATTCACCAATATACACGTTTTTACAATTAGCACACGGTATAGAATAAACAACATTCGATGATTCCTGTATTGTGAAAGGATCCTTTGTCTTTGTGTACAACTTCCACACCGTTTTCACATTCTTCGTTGCAATTTTTAAGCCACTAACATTTTTGAAAATGTTTATTAGCTTAGGAGTTAGGACTGAAATATAAGGTAGGCAACCATACGGTATTTTAGATTGTGGTAGCTCTGATGTGTTGTGTGTCAATGTCCATGTCAGTTGTCGGACCTATATATTATGAAAATTTTGGTTGTCAGAATTTTTACTATCTTTAACTAAATTTTAAAATGTATTTTGTCCATTAATTTATATGTTCTATTTTATATGTGTGATAATAATATTGAGTGTCATAGCTTTATACAAACAATCTCAACGACTAGTAAGTTGCACTGACATTTTGTGATATATTGTAGGTCTTTACACATTTTTCTAATTACAGTGTCTTGAAAAAGGAATTAAACAATTCCGAAAGATAGACCAGAAGTCAAAAGAGTGTTTCTGTAACATCCCGGCCAAACTTCTGACTGCAGCCCTAATAAACTTTGTTGTTTCTTTAAATCGACAGTCACTATGTCATAATACTTTAGTTGCTTGTACCTAAACGTACT